AGTCGAACGACAGGAACATGGGGCGGCGGGCCGCCGCGTCAGGAAGAAGACCCTCCCGACGGCATTCCGCGTCCAGGTACGGGATGTGGTCGACGAAGCGCCGACGAGCAGTGAAGCCCTTCTGCTCGGGTGAGGTAGATGATGTGGCGATGGGCTGGAGCCCACGATCTGCGCAGGCCGCTGTCAGCTTGGCGTCGCAGTTCTTCAGAGAGAGGGCGCGCACCGTGGAGGCCGTGCGCGTGCAGGAGTCGGGGACGTCGTCCGCCTCCGTGCCCTTCGGTACGCAGATGAAGATCGACCAGTTGAGGTCGAGCGGGGCCACGCCGTCGTTGAAGAGGACTTCCATGAGACCCTGGAGATGCTGCAAGGCTCCAGGGCTGCGGCGCCACGCTGCGCACGACAGCTGGTCTGGGCCCGCAGCGCTCGGCGGGGCCCTTCTGGCCGCACGTTCCAAGTCTTGTAGAGCTGGTTGAGGTAGTTCCACCGCGTGCTTCAGTGGCGCGTGCTTGTCCAGGAAAGCGCCCAAGGCCTTCAGCTGTTCGGAGTTCGGCACCTTCGCGAAGATCTCGCCCCAGTGGTTCGCTACGGTCGCCTTCATGCCCGCGGGGTCGGAGACCACGTGCTGAGCCACCTTCGAGTCCTTGGCGGCACACGGTGCGGAGTCCACGCGCAGGCCCGAGAGGATCATACGTCGCCGCCACGGGACCCAGAGCTGCGCATGCCTGGCGGCCTTGCGCTCAACCTTCCGCCAGGCTGCGCTGTCGCGCACGTTGGCCGTCCGAGCTGCTGCCTCCGCCGCCTGCCTGCGCAAGGAGTGCACCCGCTCGGCGACGGCGTCGAAGTTGGTGGCGAAGCTGTGGGTGTCCACGAGGCGCACGGTGCCGTCGGTAACGTGGAGGTGGGCGGCCAGCGCAGGGCAGGACTCGAGAAGCCTGCCTGCCAGTACAGCGTCCTGTCGCCAGACCGCTCGCGCCGCCGACTTGAAGCCCATGTACGAGGTCTCGACCATGTAGTCCTTGACGTGTAGGGAGAAGTTGGTCCGCAGCTGGTCATCACGAACGCGTCGCGCTGCGAGTTTCATGCACTGCTTCGCTGCTCTCCAGCGGCCTTCCGCCGTTTCCCCCGCCAAGGAGCAGTGGTCCAGCATGAGCGTGTAGGTCTCAGGGTACTTCCTGTGGTTGAAGAGGTGCGTCGGGGCTGGCTGCTCATCTCGTGGTACATGGCGTGCGGCAGTGATCTGCAGGACGAGGGGCGCGTGGTCGCTGATGCCCTCCTCGGAAAGCTCCATCGCGTCCCTCGCAGTGGTGAGGATCGTCGAGACCGAGAGCATGGCGTGCGCGTCGATGCCCAAGAAGATGCGGTCGATCGTGGACAGCTGCTTGCTGGACTTGTCGTAGTGGGTCGGCCACTGAGACTCCACCTCCAGAGCTGCAGCGAATAGACGGCGCCACGCAGGTTGCCGAAGTTGGTAACGGTGATCAGGTCGAAGGCGCCAAGCTGTGGTGTCTGTAGGTGCTCGTTGACTGACTGGCGGGCGGTCAGCTATGTTGAAGTCACCGACGCCCAGGAAGATGCGGTGTAACGAGTCGCGGCGCGCCCACGCCAGGCCACTGGACCAGGCGCGCTGCACTGCGGCGAACTCGTGCGGCTTGAGGTCGTAGTTGTGGACGTTGAAGATCTGCATGCTGTACTTGCCCGTGCGGTCGGTGATCGTGAGGAGCGCCGCGCGGCCGGCCGCCACTATGTCGAAGCGGTAGGCCGGTAGAGCTGATGTGGAGCTTCGCGTACTTGACCAGGTGTTGTTCGGTTGTGACGTGGATGTCGTGGGAGAACGTCGCGTACTTGACCAGGTGTCGGGAAAACTTGCTGTCGTAGGTGAAGAGGAGGTTCGCGTACTTGACCAGGTGTCTTGAGTCGGCGTAGATGAGGAAAGCCGCGAACTGGTCCAGGTGTCTTGACTGTGATGCGGCAGTTTTCCACAAATCATCGCGGGAAGACAATGGCCACAAAATGGCGTAGTAGGGGGCGAGGACCGCACAGGAGGTCTTCCACGTCTCGCCTCACTCCCTTCTCCCAGAGATTCGGCTCTGGGTCCATCCACCCTTGAAACTTCGTCGGCGTATCGAGGGGCGAGAAAGGCGACTCCGCCCACGGCGGCGGAAGAGCCAGGCGAGAGGAAGCTCAAGTACTTCTGCGGCTGCGACTGGAGGAAAATCCTGAGGGCGTCCTCGGAGCCGTGGACCTCCTGCACGGCGATGATGGCGTTGACCTTCATGTAGGTGGCGAGCAGTGCCAACTTGCGTCTGCGCAGCCTCGCGTCCGAGTGAAGCAGGCCACGGGCGTTCCACACGACCAGGTGAAGTCCACGAAAGCCATGCCGTGCTCCAGGAGGTCGCCACGGCGCCCACAGTGGGCTGCTAAATCCACTCGGTGTTGTCCTCCATGGAGAAAGCCTTCTTGAACTGCGTGTTGATGGACTCCCTGTCGATGTGCAGCCTGGCGACCATGTCTGGGTTCCACCTGATGATGGTGTCGGTGTTGCGGGATTCTCCCATCTCGAGCTTGGCCACCTTGACGCCCTGGGAGGTGACGATACCTCGGGCCCGCTGAGCACTGAAAGACTGATCAGGAAGAGCTTCTGCCAGCAAGAACGAGAGCTTCCTCGACTGGATCTCCATTCGTACTTGCTGCGGTGACTTGTCAGGCGAGAGGTACAGCGCGACGACGCCTCCGCCGACGCTCTGCGAGCTGAAGGAGCGCCACCCGTTCCTGCCAGCTGGGTCACGTAGATGCCGTGCGAGAGCTTGGGCCCGAGGGAGAGCGACTCCGTCGCCGCCCTGCACCATGACGTTGAAGCGCTTGGCGGGGACCGCGGGGTCGATGCGGACCATGTCGTTAGTGAGGCCAGCCGCTCGAATCCACTCCTCCAATCCTTGAAGAGCTTGGGCAGGTCCGACCAACTGCGGCGCCCCAATCGAGAAGATCCGCGGGTTGGGTTGGCGAGACCACGCCTCCAGCTCCTGAAAGTCCATGATGGGCAGCTCCTTCTCGGCGAGGGCCAGGGCCTTGTTGATGTCCCCGAGCTGCTTGCGCATGGCGGCCTGCTCCGACTCCAGCGCGTCTGCGCGCTGTCCGATGGGGGCGATGTCGCGAGTCTGCACAGCGAGGGACCTGTTGACCGCCTCCTGCTGGGTCTGGAACATGCGCACCAGCTGCGTCTGACAGGAGGTGACCTGGGCCATGGAGGTCTCGGCGATGGCATCGGTGGCCTGGCGTATGCAGCTCTGCAGCATGGCCTGCACGTCGATACCGCCAGCGTCCACAGGAGTGGCCATCCCACCGACAGGAGTGCCAGCGGCAGGTAGTTCAGGGTGTCCAGCAGCGGGGGCGGCGCGATCATGCCAAGGGTCCCTGCCAGGGCGTTGCCACGGGCCAGGTGGAGCATGTTGAGGTCCAGCTTGTTGAGGTCCAGCGGGCGCTTGTTCCACTTGCATGGCCTGGCGCTCCTGCGTGGGGAAGGTGGCCGCCGCCTCCATAGCAGCCACGAGCTCGTCCTGCGCGGCGCGATCGAGTCCTCCGAGACCTGGGCGCTCACGGTCGCTGGCCTGCGATCCCGAGGCGTCCACCTCGCCGTCGGAGCGCGGGCGGCCACGGCGAGCCCGACGCCGCGCTGGGGCACGCTCGTTCGTGCTGCGGGAGGCCGAGCGCAAGTCCTCGGCTGGAGGCTGCTCCTTGCCCTTGTCGCCGCGCCTCCGACCGTCAGCAGCACCAGGGCCACGATGGCCGCCGCCAGCACGGCCCGTCTTGCGCCGCTCCTCGTCGGCCGCCATGCACTGCTGGAGAAAGCCCTCGCGGCCGCAAAACTGTGGGTCCTCGCGGACCAGGCTTTGGCGGCAGCTCGCCCTGGTTGTGGCTGCAAAGAAGTCCCCACTCCTGGCCGCGGCACAGAGGTATCCATTTGGACACCGCTGCGCACCAGGACATCTTGAGCCAAAATGGCTACGGGGAGGAGGAGGAGGAGGAGGAGGAGGAGGAGGAGGAGGAGGAGGAGGAGGAGGAGGAGGAGGAGGGGGGGGGGGAGGAGGAGGAGGAGGAGGAGGAGGAGGAGGGAGGAGGAGGAGGAGGAGGAGGAGGAGGGGGAGGGGGAAGAGGAGGAGGAGGAGGAGGAGGAGGAGGAGGAGGAGGACGAGGAGGAGGAGAAGGAGGATGAGGACGAGGAGGAGGCGGAGGAGGAGGAGGAGGTGGAGGAGGAGAAGGACTTACGACTTCTCAGTGGAATTTGTTGTTGGATTGGGGATTTCACTTTTTGCATGGGGGATGTTTTTTTCGCTCGGGCGACGCTACATCCCGAGTGATCTTCTTCGAGACTCCGAGCGATTGCATTACCCCTGAAGTGCTCACCCAAGCGCATGAACGCAATGAGCGCATGAGCATCCCGAAAAGTTCAAATTCAACACAGTCTTGAAATAAGTTTCAGGGAGGAACAAACAAATATTCTGCGAGCTGGTACTATTGGTTGGAGTGCGGGCCTCACGTGGTGACTACCGGCGTTGGGCGTAGCGCTACGAATAAACCAAAGCCACAAATCTTGCATGGTTGAATTGGCGACAGTATAGAGAAGTAAGGAGTGTAGGTTCGCTATTGGGGCCCACTGGCTGCTTCGGTCAAAACCCCAAGGGGTATCTTGCTGCGCGGAAGCGGAGAAAAGTGGGTACCATCCCCCGTGGGGTAGACATCAAGACCCCGAGCGGATACATTATCCATAACACGAGCTCCAGAGCACAACGGCCCCACGAAAAACAGACACGCGCGCGCTGCAACATTCCCCAAACAGTGCTTGCACTGAAGGGGTCCTAGCGGATATTGACAGAGAAGGCGAATGTTTCACGCCGATTTTGCCGGGTTCCCGGGTTCCCGGTTTCCGGGCCGATTTCGGCGGGCGGCGAAGTTCCCAGGTTCCTGGGTTCCTGGTCGATCTTCTTATCGATCGGTCTCAGCATCGATCCCACTTCCCACCTCTCTATCGATCTCACCATCGATCTCACAATCGATCTCACAATCGATCTCGCAAGCGAACTCACTAGAGATCGCACGAGCGATCTCGCGATCGATCTCCCTATCGATCTCATTGAATCAATTTCACTCTCGGTCTCACGATCGACCTTACAATCGTCAACTATCGATTCCACGATCGACCTCATTATCGATCTCACAATCGATCTCAAGATCCATATGACTAATTTTCAAATCATCCACTGATTGGGGTTTTCTCAAGTGCAATTTTTACCCCAACGAAGCACCCTAATAGCAGCTAGGCTGTCGACATTTCCAGCTGTCCCACATATTCGAACGATGAGGATGGCATTGCTGATGATGGTTATGATGAGTATATGAGGGCAGCCTATGGATGGGGGGCAGTCTATGGGGGCCAGCATATGGGTGCAGAATAAGAAGCAGCTTATGTATGGGGACATCATATGGATGGGGCAGCCTATGGGTGCAGCCTATGGGGGCAGCTTGCGAGGGCAGCCAATGGATGGGGGCAGCCTATTGGGGCAGCCCATGGCTGGGGGTCGCATGTGGGAGCAGCCTATGGGTGCAGCCTATGAGGCAGCATGTGGGGCAGCCGATGGGGGGAGCCGATGGGGGCAACATATGGGGGCAGACTGTGGGTGCAGCCTGCGGGGGCAGCCTGTGGATGGGGGCAACCTGTGGATGGGTGCAGCCTATGGGTGCAGCCCACTCTGCTGCACTTGAAGTCGTCATCCCCACTGCTCGCGTAAACATCCCACCCACCCACCCGCAACTTGGTTTGCAAAACCTCTTAAGACCGACTACGACGACACCGACGACAACGACTACGACGACACCGACGACGTCTCCGACGACTCCGACGACGACAACGACGCCGACGCCGACGACGACGAAGACGACGACGACGCCAACGAAGGCGACGAAGAGGGAGGAGGAAGGACGACGACGGCGACAACGACGCCAACGACGACAACGACGAGGGAGGAGGGAGGACGGCGACGACGCGAACGACGAAGAAGGAGGAAGGACGGCGACGCCGACGACGACAACGACGAGGGACGAGGGAAGACGACGACGACAACGACGACGACGACGACGACGGCGACAAAATAGGAGGGACGACGACGAGACGCCGACGACGAACGACGACGACGACGAGGGAGGAGGAGGAAGGACGATCACGGCGACAACGACGACGGAAACGACCACGACGCCAAAGAGGACGATGACGACGAACACGAGGAAAGACACAGGACGACGTAAGCGACGACGACGACGACGCGGGAGGAGGGAGGACGGCGACGACGACGACGACGACGACGACGACGCAAGAGCGCGCGCGCACGCTTTTGTTGAACATCCGCGTTGCGAAACCTTGGGTTTTTGTAGGTTTTTTGGACACACGATTTTGAAATCCTTCCGAAACCGATGGTTTTTGAAGGATTTCGGCATACGCGCGCGACGACGCGCGCGTCTGCACTTCGTCCCGTTTTTTGCAGAGGATTCTCGCGACGGCACACGCGCAAGGGCGTTCGACAGATTTCAACATGCGCGCGCGCGAAGCCCGTTTGGTAGCATGTTGTGAAAATCTTGAAAAACCAACGGTTTTTTCTTAAGATTTCGCAAGAGCTCGCGCGGAAGCTTTTTTAGCACATCAGTGTTGCGAAACCCAGTGTTTTGTATGTTTTTTGGAGACTCGATTGCGAAATCCTTCTGGCACCGAAGGTTTTTGAAGGATTTCGGCATACGCGCGCGCGACGACGCGCGCGTGTGCACTTCGTCTTATTTTTTGCAAGGGATTCGCGAAAAAGTGCTATGTTAGAACAAAAAATGTCATCGCATAGTGTTTTTACAAGGGAACCTCAGGGGGGGGGATACCGGCCCCCCGGGGTAGTGTAAATTCGTATTTCGGATGGACATGTGGTCAGAATCATATACGATTTACATACCCGAAAAGGTGAACCGATAACGCTGGGGGGGTAGATCCTATTCTGTTTTTAAAAGGTGAATCCATGGATGGGGGGCAACATCTGTGCGCAGCAGCCTATGAGGGCAGCCGATGG